TTCACGTTAACGTTAGGATTGTACTTATCGTAGCAAGCAATTAGTCCCACCCACTTACTCAGGGACGTTTTAGGTCAATAGTACCAAATTCCCTGAGTGAGTGGGTTTTGACCAATTGAGTGGGTGACACACCCACTCACTCGGGGAATTGGTCCACTTTACTCAGTACTTTAGAGCATTTCCACCGCATCGTAGTAATGATTTTTAGGGTTGGCGAGTTGGGATGTGGTGGAGATGCTCTTAGGTTTCATCCAACAACTTCATCCAATGTCATCCACGCTTTAATTCAACAATTACAATATTTTATCCATAGTATCCCAGGTTGGTATTAATATTAAATGCTGTCCCGTACTAGTACCAGTACTAGTACAGTAAGTCTTAACGAAAAGTACATACTGTACTACTTCGAAGTACGTAGTACTATTAAGGGCGTGTTCGGAGCGACTTTTGTGTCAGCGGTTTTTGGCTTTTTCCACAAGCTGCTGAAATATCAGCGACTTTTTGCCTTCACTGACATTGGTTAATAACAGATAAAAATCAACCAATGATACGTCCTAAAATTCATTGTCCATTTTCAGCTCTATGACAGCGGAGCGCAGAAAATTGTTGTCGCGTAGTGGCTGTGGTGGCCAAATGTTGAGGCGGCGAGTGGCGAAACGACGTAGAGTAGATATAGCTGCATGAGAACTATGCATCTACGCAAGTCAGTCGTAAGTCGGCGGCTTGGAAATATAGACTGCCACGCTAATGGCGCACCGGTAAAGGTCAAACCGACCGACAATGCTATGTGTTTCAACCTTGTGCGTCGGTGTGACCTTCTCTTTCCCGAAGGTGTCGTGCAGTCATCACTACTAACTCTAGGCATGCGCAACCCATAAGATCAACGCCTAGCTAACCTGAAATCAGTTTACACTACACAGAGCCTAGGGTTCAGTACAAGTAGGAGGTCGCGCGGGAGGGGCATGTGTACAGCGTTCGATGCGTTGTGTGTGCAGCTACCCTCGACATGGAAATGACTTACCACAGCCGTGCTTCACATGGGTAAAGTTCTCCCGTCGAGGACCTACCAGTACACACCGGAGTGGAGTGACGAACCACCGGCACCCGACAAGGGCCTGCTTTGGGCGTGCTCCTGCGAAATTTTGGTTTGCAACCAACAATTTATTCTGATATTTTTGCCCAATAAATAGCCACAATCCCAAAAGTCGCTGTAAACGACCTCAAGGAGGTCGTCCAGAGCGGTTTTTGCAAAAGTCGATGGAAACGATTTTGATTGGCTACTTTTCCAAAAACTGCTGACACAAAAGTCGCTCCGAACACGCCCTAATACGAAGTAGTACTGCACTATTAATAGCAAGTCAACTCTAGTCCATACTGTCAGTTGCAAAATAGGCGCAGATACATAATTATTTCGAGTGTTTTGTCATTACAGTACTAGTACTGTATTTACACCAGGCTGTTACATGTATTAATAGTGGGTCTTCTGTGCCATATCCTTTATGTTTGCCTGGTTTTGCATAGGAACTGTTAGTTCCTATGCAAAACATCTGTAAAGTCTCATCGTAGGCTACTACTAGTACAAGTAAGTGCAAACTATACTGTACTGTACAACAAGTACTAACTACAGTACTACTAGTACTGTATACCTGATGTTTGCGACAATACTGTGTGTATTACTACAAGTACAGTATAGTACTCTTACTATGGGTGTTGTAGTAGTCGGTTCGGTATACGTACTACGAGTATTAATAGTACTGTATAGTACATGCTTCAATGTGGTGGTGACCATCCCACTTCATTAGTCAACATTCACAGTCAGAGCCTACACATTGAACTTCAAGGGCTGCTGTTAAGCCATAGGGAGAATATGGTATCTCATCGTACATTGATAATATCGGGGTGCGCGCCATTCCAACAGAATCTTGGTGCGATCTTACTCCTGTAGTACAGAGTACGGGTAACGTTTTATTTTATTCCTGTAATAATTCACTGAAAACGATTTTGAGCATTCCATAAGCTTAACCCACTAGGATAGGACCAAAGCTTAGGTCAAGTATACTTAAGAATTATCTTGCTTAAAGTATCCAATTCTGCAAATGAGAGATTTTCTCACCCCTGCTTCAAGTTAGGCCTAATAAAACACTCAGAATCACTATTTTTATTCCCCAATTTGCAAATGAGAGAATCTCTCATTTGAATCACCATTCTGAGTTTTTTAAAAGGCCCAACTTGAAGCTAGAGATGAGAAAATCTCATTGCCCCTTGCAAATGAGAGATTTTCTGACTTGCAGGGGCCAATAGAAATCCAGTCAATCGAAATATTTATAATTGTACAATGTCATTGGCTTAAGCCTACGAATTTACTCGAGTATGATTGGCTCTACTGCAGATAAGAGTCTCATTTCGATAACCTCCCGTCCAACCAGGTTAACGATTTCATCACGTTGCCATGCATAGTGTGGACAGACAGTACACACAACAGCTGACATGATAGTACCACGCAAGGCAAGTCACGTACTACAACCAGCTCGAGAGTTATTGGTCTCATTTTGCAATTTCCATTGACCCAACAACATCATGGTTCAGCACCAATTTATTGCCCTCGCCGCCCTCGCCGCCCTCGCCGTCACCGACGTCACGGGCAAGATCTCGGTCCAAGTGCATCGCAACTTGGAAGTTGCCAACCAGTCAAACGTCGTTGTCCAATTTTACTCTGACGAGTCCCTCGCCACCCATCGCCGCCGACTCAAGGGCGGCGCGTCTCGCACCGAAATCATAAAGTCGCTGGTTGATTTGTTGAAGGAGCACACCACCACTTCGCAGGCGTCGGTCAAGTCGCTCCTGGCCAACCAAGTTGAATCAACGGCTGTGGAAGTGGGTACGACATGGATCGACTCTTCCATGTACATCGACAACGCCCCCACCGACCTCGTCCAGAAGATCGCGGCTTTACCGGAAGTCAAATCCATTTACGAGTCAGTTGTGATGGAACTCGGTGAAACTAAAAGCGACGACGAACCAGCCAATGCTGTCGTCAATGATGCCATCGAATGGGGGGTCAAGAAGATCCAAGCGCCGGCGCTGTGGGCCAAAGGCATCAAGGGCGACGGCATTGTCGTGGCCAACATTGACACTGGTGTTCGCCATACCCATGAGTCCTTGAAGTCGAACTGGCGTAGTGAATACGGTTGGTTCGACCCGTACAACAAGACGGGGCTGCCCAACGACGCGGAGGGTCACGGCACTCACGTCATGGGCACCATGGTGGGAACGAATGGTATTGGTGTCGCCCCCCATGCCAAGTGGATTGCGTGCAAAGGGTGCAGTGGCAGGTTGTGCAATCCGCGTAAGGTGGTGGAATGCGGTCAATTCCTGCTTTGTCCCCACGACGATGACGGCAACAACTGCGACCCCAGCAAGGCCCCTCATGTGATCAACATTAGCATTGGAAGTCACACCAAGAAGTTTTGGTTGGAAGATACGATTACAAAGTGGAGAGAAGTGGGAATCATTCCCGTGTTTCCGAACGGCAACGACGGCCTTAAAGGCTGTGCGTATTCAGATTACCCTGCCGGGTCCCCTCAGGTCATTGCTGTTGGCAACACTGACTCCAACGATTTTTTGGCGTTCGATTCAAGTTTGGGACCTTTCGGGAAGCGTGGCAAACCCGACATTTCGGCTCCTGGTAAGCGCATCCGTTCCGCAGGATACTCCAGTAACGATGTTATTACGTCGAGATCTGGCACGAGCATGTCCGCGCCTCATGTTTCTGGAGCCATCGCCTTGTACTTGTCTGCCATTAAAGGCGCCTCGTACGACCAAGTGTACGCGGCCCTGACCGAGAATGCAGACACGGACACGTTAACTCCACCTGACAAGACCTGCGGTGGCATTCCCAACACAAAATATCCCAACAACCTCTTTGGCCACGGCCGCTTGAACATCTTCAACGCCGTGGCTGCTGACTTCCCCGGCCTGACTCTTCCCCCGCCATCCAAGTCCACCCAAGTCCTGAAACCGTTCAATGACCTAAGTACGTGTGGCACCTTGGAAGTCAACACGAATTATATTGGCGGCGACTTGACTTCGGTCAATCTGGCGACTGCTGAATCCTGCTGCGCTGAATGTAAAAAGACAAAGGGATGCAAAGCGTTTGTGTGGTATACCCTCAACGGTGGATTGTGCCGGCTCAAAGACACCCAAGGCCCAAAGGTGCATGTGGACGGAGCCAGGGCTGGCGTGCTACCAGCCCCAGCCTCGGGACGACGGCCGTAGTTTTAGGCCATCTATTATCATCGTCAACAACTCATCGACAATAGTTTGACGTTAAACACGCTCAACTTAATATTTCTCAATATTTCGATAAATAATAACGTTATTGAGATCATTTGTGTCAAATTGGCGTGTCCGGATACCATTTTGTAGCCAACTTCTGCGAATGGTGCAAGCCATCCTCAGGAGTTGACGTTTTACTATTAAAAGCCTCGGTTATTTCAGTTAAACGTCTCGCCCAAACGGACAATAGTTGGGGATTACGAAAGTAATAGCCGGATAATCCATAGGACTGCGAAACAAATAGTTTCGTCAGAGATTCGTAATTCCAACCAATCTAATTCGAAGTATCTTGCTCATTGTATGTGGCCAAACCATCGAGTGAATTGGTTGGGGTTACGAAAATTCCACGAAACCCATTATCCGGAGGCGACTCCTGTGACGCCCGACACTTTCGGGCTTCGTAGGCGGTCACGGCAGGCATCACAGCTTCGTGATTGAAACTCATTCGCGCTCCCGGGATCCAAGTGTATGATGGTATCCCTTGGCAACTTGCCAACGAGGTCTGTATGACCGACATGAACAACGAATGCTGACATTTATGTTTAGTAATGAGCTTAGTATGCGTCGAGGAGCCCGGGCTCCTTGAACTCCCTTTTTGGGAAATAGATGCCCCAACTCAACGTGGTAGTGACGGCAAATATCGGCGGCGGCTGTGCGTGGTCGTGATGGGCCAGTTGACGCGGGACGCGCGTCCGACGGATCAAGACCTGACCAGAAACTTCCACCGCGACATGATTGCCATGCTGGCTGCTGCCAACGACCCGGCCGTGGTGGCGGAAGCCTCGGCGCTCTTCCACGCTGCATTTCCGCCCCGGCATCAACCTCGGCCAACTTGCGCTCGATCGTGTACAGCATCCACGTGCGCACATCGTCCGTGCCCAACGCTGCGTTTGCGCACCTCCTCCAGGTGTACGAAACCAGCGACTTTATCGATGAAAAGCTGCATGTGCTGGGCACGCTGAAGCTCAAAACCCGGTCGTTGGAGTGGGCCGTGGCGAGAGGTGTCCGCAGCCAGGACATCCACAGCGTGTTCGGCAGTGTCGCAGCCGACGGGTCGCAGGCCAAGTGGGACGCTTTGAGCGCACAGTACTCGCAGATCATCGTGTGCCCATCGTCAACTTCCAGACGGTACAAGCCGTCACGGCGGTCGAAGCGTTCTTGGCCGGGCACCCAAGGCGCGTTTGCCCGCCCACTGGGTTTGTTCTTTGAAAACATCCGCACAGGGGCTGTCATGTACGCCCGCGATATGACACCGCTGGCGGCGTGGATCCAAACGCTGTGATAACGTTAACAAGGATGTAGTTGCGGTCCAGTTGTGTAATACTACTCGGAGGGAGTAGTACTCGTAGTGCGTTGCAAGGCACCATGTTGCGGTAAATAACGAGTTTTGGGGTTAGTACATAGTACAGTGTAGTTGACGAATGGACGTACAGTTGTCCTCCAAGGTTTGCTCCCTGGTCAAAACGAAATTCCCGTATAAAACAATATCATATAACTTTTCAAGGGTTGATTTGAATTGACGCGAGGTTTAAATTTTCGAACATGAGGCTGCATTCACCTCACTTTGACAGGCTTAATTAATAAGGACATTTGAGAATATGCCGCAGTGCAAACAACAAGGAAAGCGACTCTCGATTCACGAGAAGAACTTGATTCGGGCGTATTATGCGTCTCACGTGCCCATTAAGACAACCGCCGTGCAGCAGTGGGTCACGGAACAATTTGGCCACACGCTCCACATCACGACCATTCGCCGAATCCTGAGGGACAAACGCAAGATCGAGACCTATAACATAAAGGAGGAGTCGGCAAAGGGTCGGTACAACTTTCAGGGGCCAAAATACCCTGAATTAGACAAACAAGTTGCCGAGTGGGTGGTCATGGCGAATGCAAAGAATGCATGCGTGACTGGCGAGTTAATCGCGAGGAAGGGGCTCCAAGTCGCCACCGAGCTGAACCTACAAGATCAAGTCAAATGCTCCCATGGGTGGTTGTACCGTATGCAGTCCCGCCACAATCTCCAAATATACCGCATGCACGGTGAAGCCGCGTCAGCAAGTCCCACGGCTGTGAGCGATGGGCGTGATACACTGCAAAGAATGACCCAGTTGTACGCCGCACCCGACATCTATAACATGGATGAGACAGGCCTGTTCTATAACGGGCAGCCAAGAACAACGATCTCTGACAAACCTCGGCCGGGGCAAAAGCAAGACAAGAGTCGGATCTCTGTCGTCCTTGCCGCAAACTCAGACGGCTCCCACAAGTTGCCACCTACATTCATCGGTAAGGCGAAGAAGCCACGTTGCTTTGGAAACTTGACAAGTGACGACCTCGGTATACTGTACCGTTCGAACCGAAAGGCATGGATGACGATGGCCCTGTTTGCGACCTGGATTAACGACTTCAATACCCAAATGGCGGTAGAAGGCCGATCGGTCCTGCTGGTGTTGGACAATGCATCGTCACACAATGCGGTGGGAGTGGAACTTACCAACGTCAATCTGCTGATGTTGCCGCCCAACACGACGGCCTTTCTTCAGCCGATGGACGCCGGAATCATCGCATCCTTCAAGCGCCACTACAAGCGATTTTAAACGGATCACGTTATTGGACTGATCGATGGGGACGAGAGCATGGACCATGTTGTCGAGAACCGCAAGAACTTGTACGCTGTTGACGTGCTGACTGCCATGAAGTGGTCATTGGACGCCTGGGAAAATGTCACGTCAACGACGATTCGGAACTGTTGGAATCATACAGGTATTGTACCCCGAGAGACGTTGATGGAGCACCTCCAGTCTCTTCACATTAGCTCCGGTCATTCGCTGGAGCGATTGCTTACAGTTAATTCAGTTTGATGTAAATGACTGGTTAACCTCCAATAAAACCTTCAATTTCAATATGTTGTGTCACCTTTATGTCATCAGCTTCCTGCAATAATTTATGTCATTTCATGGGAGCAAACCTTGGAGGACAACTGTATAAGGAGGATGTTCATGTATATCAAGGTGGACTGAATTTGGAGCTGGTTCGTACATACTAGGTAGTACACACTGCGCAGTTAGTTTGCGGATGGGGACGATGGCTAGTGTCCCAGGTGCTGTTAGGGTCACTCTAAGCTTAGTACTTCGATAACGTTATGTTATTACTAGTAGTAGAGTTGCAACTGGCGATGCTGTTAGCAATTACTACGTAGTAAATGAAGTTTTTACTTCGAAGTACTTCAATTTCATAGAATACTCCAAGTACTTATATTAAATCAAGTCCGGGAGGGTTTCGTAAGAGCATCTCCACTCGTCAGACTTAAAGGTCTGATTTATACGGATAACCCTTAGATAGGACCAGATTTGGACTTATATGTACTCCCACCGGTTGGTTTTATTGGGGTCACAATAAGTCCAAACATAAGTTCAGCCCCGAAAATCCCTATCATAGGACTTTTTCGTCAAGTTTGATGTAAATATCACCCACCTGTCTTATTCTATCCGGAAGAGTAATATAATCAAAAATAATATACAAAAGTACTACTCAACATAGTCAAATACAATACAGCATGCAACTTTTATAAAAATTCCCATTTACACGCTGTCAGTTCACACTGATGACCAACGAAGGTTGACGTTGCGATGGGCCGTGGAGGTGACCAGTCTGCAGGCGGACAGGGTGGTCGCGATGATGGAGGTCACGAAGGTGAGTATTGCCGACGTGGTGGTGGCTAGGGACATGAACCGGACCATCGTGGTTCGCTTTGCGGCAGCTCGGGAGCTTCGGGTGGAAGCCCTGCAGGCAACAAGGGCCGATGATTGTTGGCTCGGGGTAAATGCGCGCCGGCCTTGATAACATTGCCCGTGAGCCCGGTCAACAACCTCGCGAGTCGGTCCGCTGGTTTCCGACGTAACCCCTTGTCTTGAGATCAAGTCGTCCTCCTCTTCCGTCCCCCTTTGTTCATCAACAGGCTCAGGTGGTCGCGCACCTTTCGTGGTACTGCTGCCGGACCAACCGGGCGGCAACAGCGAGATGGACGACCAGTTGCTCGCGCCAGACGACTGCACCGCGACCACCGTCGTCTAGCGTTTTCCACGCGCTGTTGCAGGTATATGCGCTGCTGCAGGTGTATGGCTTCTACGATGTGTGCGGCGATGATAGGAATTGACGCATTTACAGGTACTTCCAGCAAGTTGCCATGGGCGACCTTGTTTTCTCTATGTTTGCCAGTGGCATCGCGACAATGCTCCACGGAGCAGCATGTAATGCGAAAGCAAGCGACTTTCTCGTCATCGAAGGCTCGTATTACTCCCTTGAGCTATACTTTCGAAGTAAATGTTAACGATTCGGTCTATGATGGAATGCGACGGGTCGCGGTTGATG